AAAGGGTGGATGAACTGCTTAGGGATATGGTTTAATGGGAGATTAGGGACGGTTGGACTGGATGATTACTAAGGTCTTTTCCAACCTGGAAATTCTGTGAAATTCTTTGAAATTCTTCAGCCTGGAGAAGAGAAGGCTCCAGGAAGCCCTTCTAGCAGCCTTCCAGTATCTAAAAGGAGCCTACAAGAAAGCTGGAGAGGGACTTTTTGGAAGGGTATGTAGTGATAGGACAAGGGGCAATGGCTTTAAACTGAAAGAGGGGAGATTTCTTACAATGAGACTGATGAAGCGCTGGAACAGGTTGCCCGGAGAAGTTGTGAATGTCTCATCCCTGGAAGTGTTCAAGGCAAGGCTGAATGAGGCTCTGAGCAACCTGATCTAGTGGAAGATGTGTCTGCTCATGGCAGGGGGTTTGGAACTCGATGCTCTTTAAGGTCCCATCCAACCCAAACCATTCTGCAATTCTATGGTTCTATGCTTGGTGTTTGGCAAATCTAAGTCCAGCAGTTATCCTGAAAGTTGAGACTGAGCCACTGTAAAAACTACTAGATCAGCGCCTGAATGCAGTGTTGTGGTGTAGAGGGGCATGTGCATTACTGAGGAGCTGTTAGACAGTTTGCCTAAAAGGGTGGAAAGTTTGATCATATGTTTAAAAGGCTTGCTTTCTGGACAGCTAGGAAGAATGAGGGTGACTTTCACGAGAATTTCACTAGAATTTGTTTTTGAATTTGTATGAAAATAATAGACAGTAATGCCAGATGCTAATGTAGAATGAAAACTTCCTTACTGGGAAGAAATCCTTACATCTAACTGACCCTAAATTAAGCTTTTTGAGATGTGTTAATCTTTAAAAAAATGACAGATTTCAGTTTGCATTCCTATTTTGAAATAGGCTTACTGTGCTCACACCATGTTGTTTTGTGTTTGTTTTTTTTTCCAGTTACTAAATGTACAGCATTAGGTTTGTGACATGAGTAACGCTAATGTATTTTTGGTAGGTGCTTTGGAAGTTCTGGTAGAAATGAAAAAACAAGGTATACCTTTTAACAAAGAAACTTACCTACTTGCATTTGCAATATGCTACAAACTGGTAAGTGTTTTCAATTTACATGGTGAAAACGTGTTTGAAATGCCTTCTCTATGTTTTCCTTTTTTTTTTTGTTTTAAAATTTCCGTATGTTCCCAGTCATGGTTTCTTATCTAGTGCAAATATCGTAGAGGTATTGTAAGTCCTAAATTGCTTCATTGTGCATGATATGGTGCACATATATATATGTTTTCCCATACAAGCTAATGTCACAAAGCAGATCTCTAAAAAATTACGTGGACATAATCACTAAGGAACAAATTTGATACAGCCTTTGATTAACTGACAGTGTTCTTTCTCAGGGATCTCTGCATCTCTTCAGACTATACCCTGTACTCGAGCCTCAATATTGGTTTTATAGTCTGACTTCCTTAAGAAAAAAGACATATATGATATGTTCTGTTTATCAGACATCTGCCATCCATTTCTTCCCTCCCCTTCCAGGTACCCTTGAACCGTTTCTGTAATTGCATCCAAATGTGACAACTGAGCTTAATTGTATATTTTACTCCGAGAAAAAGATCCTGAACACAGTAAGAAACTGGGCTACATAGGTTCTATGAGTTTTTCCTTAGAACTGTTTCCCTTTTGTAGCAAAGTGAGATCCCCAAACTTTTTTATTTTTGTCTTCCATTCCAGATTTGAATCAGTTCTGCAATGTGAAATGTCGACTTAGGCTTTCCCAAACTCAGTAGGAAACTCTTCTTCAATTTCCTCATGTGTTTAGGAAGAGGGACACTAGCTGAGGAAAAACCGTACTAGACTAAACTTCCTCAGGTTTCTCAGTTAATCATACAGTGAAACTGAGTGCATGTGTGATAAAAGAGAGTTGGCCTAAAATGGTAGCTCAGCAGTAATTCATGTCGTGCTTCTGAAATACTCAGTTCTGATGAATCAGGGCTGCCTTTAGGTCAGGGGAAACAGAAAATAGACATGTGGCTTTGGTGTTTGCAGAGTAGTGTGTTTGGCACAGTAGATACAGCTGAGAAAGAGCTGTGGAAGTTGTCTGCTGTTAAAAACAGCTAGAAATTGTTGGTTACAGTCAGTTTAGGGATGTTACCAATGCTGCATAGAAGACACCTCTTTTAGCATGTTGGAAATGTACAAAGGCTCTGAGACTAGGCTATAACCCAAGTTTTTAAGCTAGTGTTTGCTACTAGCATCCACTTGGGCAATATTTACTGCTTCAGGATTGCTCCTTGGTCTGTTCTCTGCTTGTTTAGGTAAAGGCTTTCACAGAAACCCACTGTGTTTCTCTGAGGTATCCTTTACTCCCTTTGCCCTAGCTTCTTCCCTAAAATCTTTATGTGGTTCTTTCTGTGGCCTCCTGTCAAGGGGGCTTGATTCCATGCCAGGTACAACAGGAAGAGTTTCCTGAGACTTCTGTTTTCTGCTTCTGGCCTCACCTGTGTTTTCGATAGAGAATCTGGCCCATCATTGCTTGTTTAGCCATTGATAGAAATAAAGGGAAAATGATTCTAAACTGTCACCCAGTTATTTAACAGCCACAATGAATTTGTGTTTTTTTTTTTTCATTAAGATAAAATACTATAAATAGGGGAATAAGCTGCAGTAACCCTTTATGCACTAAAGAGGATTAGGAGGAGCTCTTTCAAAAGCTTAATCTGTTGATTCAGCTGTTTTTGCTCATGATGCAACGTAAGAAGCTTCAGAAAAAATCTTGAAGGGAAATATCTTCAAGATGCACTGCTTGAATACTGGAAATAATGATGCTGATATCATTAAGAGCAGTGCTGAATTTTTACCAAGTTAGTTCTTGGTTTCTTTTGAATAACCATGCCAGAGACCAGTACAGAAAAATGTACAAGGCTTAAAGCTCAGATTATTGCTAGTAGATAAACAAAGGAATTAATGTTTAATCTTTGTGGACAACTCTAAACCACTTCTGGGACATTTTAATTCATTGTAAGGCAGTGTTATCCTCTAAGGTAACAGATGGTCCTTCTTTTAGTGCAGGAAGGGCTATAGGCCTTTTGATGACAAAATATTTACATAACAGTAATCAATCTTCTGGTGGTCAGAATGTTTCTGAATTTTCAAACAACATGTTTTAAACCATGAGTTTCTCATGTGGTTTAAAAGATATTTTCACAAGCTGTACAGACTATTCAGCCATGACATGGAAAAGCATCCCTTAAACACCCAAAGGATGACCCTATCCCTTAAGTCATGGCCAGTATTTTGCAGAAATGACACTTTGAACAGTAGGAACAGAAATCAACACCAAGTACTAGGAAGACATGAAATCTCATATCCATATTGGTGGTACCAGTTGTTACAAAATCTTCCTGCTGCCAGCTTTTAAGTTTGGCAGGTAATATTTTGTCTGGGATCCAGTCAACTCCAGTGTGCGAAGCATTGTTTTTGGGAGTTGGTGGTTTGTGAGATAGCACACAGGTAAACTCATTGCCTTTTACTATAGCCTCCAATTGAAAATAGTCCCAGCAATAATGCAAGCTTTCTGTGTTGGAAAACAAGCAAGTGTCTAAGCTATCATATTAGAATGTATACTGTGGAAATGTCTTGCAAGATTTAATCTGTAAGAGAGGCTAAAAGTTGCTGAATGTTCAGATTTGCACATACACATATTTCTTTAGTGTAATGGTGCTGAATAGTTCAATGCTTAGAAAACATTGGTTTTCATTAACTATCATCTAATGTAGCTTTTTAAATAAAGTAAGGACAAAAAGTCATCTGTCTTCCTGATTTGGGGATGATTGGAAAGTGCCTGTTGGTTTTAGCATACCACCAGCATTGTTTTATCTCTTGTAGAAACCAAAACAGTTAGGACAAAGTGTAGTTGTTAAAGTAATGGAAATTATTTTTACCTTCTTCTGAACTCTGTAGCTTTGAATATCATATTTTGATGTTGTATTCCACAAGAAGTGCTACACAGAATCTGCTTGGTTGTGTTCAGATATGGATTGCCTTGGTGATCTTACAGTATGTTGACTTCTGAATGCCTTCTAAATGTGATTGCAATTGCCTACAGTCCTTTCAGATCACAAGACTAACAAGTGCAATTTAGGTTTGAAATTTCTGTGCAGGACAACCTGGAGTCTTACAAAATCTCTGCGAAACTGCTTGAAGAAGCACAGCTGAAAGGTGTCACATTACCTCTGCGAGCGTTCTGCTTTGCTGTAGCAACTGCTCTGAAACAGGTACGGTACCTTTCGTTTTGATTTGTGCCTGATTCTCAAATCAGTGAAAGGAAGCTAACATAGGGGAAGCATAACTTCTCTACGTAATAACTTCAAGTACTAGAACTTTAGGCCCCTGAAAGAGTAGGATTATAGAGGGCTCCCACACAACACTCAGAGGCTATGATGGGTTTTGCCCTACTGCCTGGGAGGTGGCCTGTCTTTCTCCATAAAATGTTTCTTCAGGCAGAGGTTTTCATACAGCTCATGTGCCTAAGCACTGATTTGAAGAGGCTCTGAGGCAGTACAGGGTGAAAAACTGAGCAGCAGAATAATTAGGTAATTCTAAAGTCTGCTATTTCCTCTGCTGTTGATTTGTGTATGCAGGTTGAACCTCCTCTGTTTCATGCCAAAACAGAGGTCAGAGGCACTGAAAGAGCTAGCGATTTGGTGGTGTTGGTGGATTTGAATGAGTGAAGCAGAATTGTTAAAATTTTCCTGTGCACTCTGTGGTCTTCGTTGCACTATCTCTGTGAACAGAGACACTGAACAATAGCATCACTGAAATTAATTTGTTCATGTGCATGGTGGCATGACAGGGCTTCTCATTGGCACTGATGTTAAAAAACAAAGTGTCTCTGAAACAACATGAAATACCCTTGATGGCTGTTGCTTTATGTAAAAATCAGTTAAAACTCTTGTTTTGCAAACAGAATAATGCACCACATTACACTTAACTATTCCGTAAGCTGCATGATCTTTGACAGTACATCTTACTGTGAATAAGATGTTTCTTGATCCCGAGTAACAGTGGTTGGTCTAGTAAATGTCAGTGTAACATTTACTGTCTAGACAAATCAGTTGACGGCATAGAGTACTGTAAATGTGTATGTCCAGAAGGTTAAAAATGCTGAGCAGTATAAATACCCTCGTTAACATATGCTGCGCTTCGTTTAAGTACTCTGACAAGTGTCAAACTGAGGATGTGTGTAGATCTTTGATCTTTTAGGTGCTGTCATGCTCAGTGTGAGTTACATACTGCCTTTCCCTGCTGATCTGAGGCAAGGAGTACTGTCTGATGTGCTAAAGAGCCAGATGACGTGGGAACTCGAGCAGGGGGTGTTCCTTTCACAGACTGGAGGCTGTTTGGAGTCTTACGGGTCTTGGTGAAGGGGTTCTAGATGCTGGTTTGTAATTAATTGAAAAAGTTGTGAAAGACTTGTTTTTCTTGAACTTTTAGTGTGAAAGTGGGTCACACATGTTTAACTGTATTTTTTTTATTATTTATAATTCCTTCCTAGAATGATGTAGCGCAAGCCAAATTTTATTGCTCCCAGATAATGAAAACAGAGAACAAACTATACAACAATCTAGAAGTAAGTATGCTTGCTTTGCATTGGAGCCTTGCAGAGAAGTAATGCTATAATGGATAAAAAACTCCCGTGTGCAAAGTAAGAGAAGGCCAGGGTCTTAGTAGAACAGGCGTGTGTCAGAACTGTTGAGCCAACAATTTCTGCCAGTTGGATGAGTTACCTTCTGAATTGTTAACACCATCCCCTCAATTTTTAAAATCGCTTCCTGCTGTAGATTGGAATGGAAAGTAGACCAGTCCTACGTCTGTGAGTATAGACCTGTGAACAATTTCTAATCACGACGTTGTGAGTTTTTGCTTTCTTGCTACAAGAGATTTGAAAGAAACATAGCTCCAAGTAAACGCCTTAGCTCCAAGTAAACGCTTCTTAGCTATGCTCTCCCCACTTCAGGCCTCCTTCAGCCCTGTGAACCTTAACCATATATGTGCGTGCAACAATTATTTTCTTTAATTGCATGGTCTGCAACCTGAGAGAAAGTCTTCTGCATGTGCCCTGTAAATGACCTCTATAAGCTATGAAAAAAACCCAACTTTATTCAAGAACGCTAATGCAACTCCATCAGAGAAGCTCTGCCTCCAGGCTAACCCTTCCTTTCCAGGTCACAGCTGAAAAAAAACCCCAAACCTCTGTGGAACTTGATCATTCCCTCTGCTTTCTTTATGGTTAATGGATTTTTTTTTTTTAGCAGCACAGCAGCTGAACATATATTTTGTCCTGCTTTGCTTCATATCTTCCTCAAATACTTTTGTTTTAAAATTTACATTCTGATGATAAGTACTATTTGTGTGGTGTGGTTTTGTTTTGTTTTTAAGGTTCTTGTCCAGCTCAGATCTGGTTCACTAGGAGAAGTGATAAAGACATTAGAGGCAGCAGTGAAAGTAAATACTCCTCCCTTTGTGAAGAAAATAGAGTTTTCTGAGGAGGTGGTAAGTATACAGTAATGAGAGGAGGCCCATGGTGCTTGGCTGAGCCATGATGACAGTGGTTCAGCTACAGAACTCCAGGTGCCTGAGTGCACCCTATTAAAGTTGTTTGGGTTCTGATGCATTCAGATGGCAAAGCAGCTGGCTGGCCTTCTCTGCTGTCGGACAAAATACTTAGCTGTCCACTTCCCTTTTTTGTTGTGGGTCTTGCTCTTAGAAGCCCAGATTTCATCTGAATGTAGATGAAGCATTCCCTTGTGGCGTTAAATAATTGAATCCCTTGCCTTCTATGCTATTTTCAGTTGATGTAAAAAAGAATAAAGTTCTCATCACAGCAATAGTGTTAGATTTGGTAATGTTTGCAAAGACCTGTGGTGCTGTACAGGGAAGTGTGATATGGGAAACAGTAGTTTTTGCTATTTTACTATAAAAAATAGCTTTTACAGTATTGATCACCAAGCAGGCTTCCTTCAGAGCACATGTGTACACCTATCAGCTTGGTAATATTGCAGCTGCTTTTCCTGAAACTTGTTAGCGTATTCATTTTGGACACGCCTGTGAAACAAGATATGTTAAGACCGTGTTAATAATTAAATACTTACTCTTTCACTGCTGCCTGTTAAGCAAAATGCATAACTGATACGTAAAGTAACAAATACTAGGTAGAAGGGGGCATACTTTTCAAAACATAGCCCATGTATATTAACTGCTATGCTGAAAAGAATTTTTTTTTAAGCAGTATTTTATTTTGTAAATTCATTGCAATAAATGTTGCTTGTGTCAGTGTTGTATTTTGATTTTGTTCGGCAGATTTGTAACAGTCCCTAAGAAGACTAAGCATTAGTCCTAACCCATTTCTTCCACAAAAGGCTATTGATCAATAACAATCTTTAAGAGATTTACTTATACTTGAGCTCGTACTCTGTGTGTGGCATACAGAACTCTGAGCGTTCTATAGCCTGACGTTTATTGATTTGTACTGTACTGTACATTTAGTGTGACACATAATAATCAGAATATTGCTGATCTGGAAAGTAGATTCCAGGAAGATATTATGTTTCCTGGGTTTAAATAGAAAATAATTGTGTTAGTCTGTACTAGGACTGGAAATAGGACTGTACAACTGAGGAAGTTTTATTTCTAATAAACTCTAATAGGTACCCAGTGCATTTCCACCATTTTCTGGTGATGTATAATGTGTGCGGCTTAAAATCCTCTTCTTTGTGAGTCATTACAGTAGCCACATATCTTAAGTTGTGTACTTTTTTTTACTTTGAGTGATTGCTTGTCTTTAATTTGGTGGTCGAATGAGACCATCACTTGATGAACTGTAATAGTCTGTCATTTTCTTCTCCTTAGCTGGCTACAGTCAGGGAAAAAATGCAAGAAAATCCTGACCTTTCTGCCAAACTTGGAGATGTTTATATGAAACTACAAACTTCAGGACGGATAACCACATGCTCGCTGGAAGACATGCTTTTCCAGATTCCTAGTTCAAAGAAGACCCCTGCAAAGCTTTTACATCAGAAGCAATTGGGCTATCAGGCTGCTAAACCGCTTCGGTCAAATCTATTGTTGGAATAGTCCAATATTTGATGGCAAACTGAACTGCTGTTAGCATCTCCTAGAAGCCAACTTGAAATAAAATGTCTTCTCTCTCCTTCACAACGAGCAATTAAGTTGTTTGTGTGAAACTGCATTTTAAGTACAGATCATGTAGCTTCCATGTTTCAATTTGGTGCTAAAAATCGTGTGTTGTTCAGAAATCGAGTGATATAATGGTTTGAAGTTTCTCCTGAGGCTCTTAAATCAGGATTTTCCTGGGCTAAATGTCCTGATGGTTGTGAACTAAATACTATGCTTATCTGACCTGACTTCTGTGTGGTTCATGAGAAGAAAATTCAGTCTTCATCAGATAAAATTTTCTGACTGAAAGGATAGATGCAGTCCAGAGTCTAGACAAAAGAGTATGGCAGTGCTTTAACTAATCATTCTGTCTGGTTATTCAATTTCGGTACATCTCAAGAGTATCAGAGGAAAGCAAACATCTTTGCTTCCCTTTAATATCTTTTTCTTCAGAAGCAATATATTAGTATGTTTTTCTCCTATCGAATGGGATTATGGAAATGCTATGGGAGGTAGCATGGTAACCAACTGGTTGTTTTCCCACTTGAAAGAGATTCCTGAACAAAAGTCAGAGTCTCGGAGTGCGTGGCCCCACATACTGCTTCCTTCAAATTTTCTGGTATTAAGCCTCCCAGGATAAGCGGATCTTGATACAAATTTGCAACTAAGTCCTAACAAGTTTCTGAGAGCAAGTACAATCACTTTTAGACTAGAATTGCATATCATCTGCACAAGTCACTCATACATGGAGCAAGTAATCTTAAAAACAGTACGAAGAAGCTTCATATTGACTGAGCTTTAATGACTGCAGGCAAATGTGCTTGGTTCTACTAGTAAAAAGGTGTTTGTAACTGTGAGTCCTGTAGACCCCCACATCTTTTCTCATTCACCATCCAGAATAGAAGGAATTGGAAACAGCAGTACTTTGGCTGGCACTAAGGTGCTTTTGATTTGCTTGTGCATATGAAGTGCTGAGCCTGTTGATACGTAACTTAGCAGCTCTGTGAACATGACTGGGTGGAGCCCACCTCCAGGTTGGGCCTCCTTATCTCTTCTTTGGTTTCTGTCCTTAAGTTTTTATTTTGTCTCTCCCCCTCTCAAGAAAATGTCAGAACTCAAAGGATTCTTCCTGTGAATGAATCTGTGCATGCTATATGAAATTTTGTTGAAGCCAGTGAGTCACTGTGAAGAAACAAGAACCTGTTCCATGCAGAAACATATCTTTAACCATCAAAGCAAATGTGGCTACAGCAGGTGAGAGGTTTTCTTCTGCCATTCTGACACTAATTCATTTCTGTCACCGGTGAGTCTTGTTAATATTAAAATGCGCAAAACTTACACGATGGAATTTCATGCAAGTGTAAGTGAAGAATAATGTGAAGGTTTTATTACATTTTCATGAGTGGTTGCATAGGTTAAAGATATACATTAGTCTAAGAACACAGCTAATTACTTGTTCTGTACTGCTGTGTAGCATGTAATTTCACACATAATTGTACAGGTTTTTAACAGTTTTCCCTCAACTGGAAATTCTTTCAACATTTCTGGTACAAAATGGACCCTTAAGTAGCTCCCAATCTTTTCTCCACAAATAAATTTGGTACGGGGTTTTTTTTAAAGGCTGCTTGCAGTGTGGCAGGGATTAGTTTCATAAAAATTAAAAAGAGTGAACTCCTATGTTCAGTTTACTCAGTACTATGAGGACAACTTTTTGATGTAAAACTACACTTCAATGGGCAAGAGAAGATGGTTTGACCCGTTTAGACTGTTACATAGCAAATATATAAGGTCAATTCTGTTCAATTTCCTAATTTGGCACTTTCAAATTTGTTCTGGTTGCAGGAAATTGGTTCATCCGAGGACTGAGATGCACGTGTTTGTTTTAATCTGAATTGGTTAGATTCCTGACAGGCTGTATCCTACCTGCAACTGAAGTAATGATGACTTCTGTTACAATTATCCAATATAGCTGATGTTTTCCATTCTTTGTTCTCTTGACTGCTTGTTTTCTTGAGGCTGATTTACTCAAGCTAACTATGAAGTCAATAATTTGTTTTAAAGAAGTACCATTTCTTTGTCTTGAGAGAGAAAGGGGAGGCCCATAAGTAAGTAACATTTCAGTAGTAAAAGAAAGCAGGGATCCAAGAAGGAGTAAAGGGTAGGTTCAAAGAAACACACACAAAATTCAGATAATTAAATGTTAGAATATTGAAGGTTGCTCTAGAAGCATAAATAATTCACCTTTTTGTGGATCATGCTCCTGAGCACACTGGCTTTTGTGCAGAAGAGTCTTTAGCCACATGCGTAGTTTAGTGTGTTCAGGTGTAGTTGGCTTCTGGTTTCCCAGCACCCAAGATCAGGAAACCAAACTTGTCTAAGGTTAAGCAAATACTTAGGGGTTTTGCTGGGTCAGAGTGGCTGGAGCGTCAAGGGCTAAACTAGAGAGCGTTTACTGGTGGCAGCCTCAGAGAATAGGATGTGCACTATATTATTGCAACCAGTGAAATAATTATGCTTTGCTTATATGGAGTTTTAATCGACTATTAACCTTGAAATTAAAGAGAAGCCAATGTCGTGAAATTCAATTAATAGATTATTACTTTTTGGTGAACAATTTGGAAAAAAGGCATTTGCATTTCAACGTGAATCGCTGCATTTTTTTCCAGGTTTCACTGCAAGAGGTTTCTGTAGGAAATGCTACTTGAATCTTTATGTAGCAAGTAGCTCAGATGAGGACCTGAGGGCTCTTCTGGGTGCTTTGTGTGGGAAGGAATTGCTGTTCGTCATACTCAAATATTCTTCCTGCAATAAAACAAAACGTGTCCTTGCACTCCTGCAGCTTTTTGGAACAGTGGTAGGCGGAGAGACAGCAGGTGGCGTTTCTTGATCATGCTTTCCTGCCAACACGGTTTCCAGGGGTAACTTTTACCTGCAGTGTCAGTCAGAATGAACTGTTTTCCCTGTGTTTAACGCATGCCATCTTCAAATGGAAAATCCAGGCATTAGTCAGCAGCCTGGAATAGTTGGTGATGGGCATAGACTGCAAACTTACAGATTTACAGCATTTAATTTGAAACTTCCGGGATTTACTGAAAAAAAATCTTCTTTGCCAATGATCACAATGCAGCTTTTACAGTATTCTGTGGAAATGCTAATCGATGACCTGGGAGACAGGCTGCTGATGTTAGTTGTAATACATCAATGACAATTATAAAGGCTTACTTTGCTATACCTTTAAGAGAAAGTTGGGCACCTTTTCCAACTTGAATTCTAAAAGCATTCATTTTTGCATTCACATGGAATCTGGATTGTGTGCAGTCTTCAAAGGACTGATATTCCTCTGTTATAGATGCTTCTGCTTTTCGCTGTGGGTTAATACCTTTTTCTCTTTCATACTCCTTTCCACAAGCATCTTGAGTCTTGGTAAGGAAGGATCACTTCCTCTGTGCTTCTCCCAAGTTAATTTTCTGCTTCAAAACAATAAAAATGAAGGTGACAGGCTTAGTCATTGCAGGGGAGCTCAGGAATGCTTCCAGGCCTCGAGAAGAGTTTTCCTGTATTTAATGAACTTTCTACACAAGTTTAAGTAATTTTTGAATCAAAGACTTGTTAGAACTTTGCAGTCTAACTGCAAGAAAGAACTTTGCAGTTACTTTCTAACTCCCTACAGAAAGTAGGGAGACCTATATTGTTTACAGGTCTAGAGTTATTCAGCTTCGGGTTCGCTCTTTTTTTTTTTTCTCAGGGTTGTTTCAGATTGCATCATTCTAAAAATTTTTATTGCAAAATAAGCATAGACTTGTTTGTTTGTTTGTTTGTTTTAAAGCTACATCTGTTGTGTCTGCTTACATGCCCTTGTGCTACCACGTACTCCTTAGCAAGTTTATTAAAAGTAGATGTTGCTCATACACTCCCTTCCTCCTCTGTTGCTTTTCTCCTGCTGCTTATGAACTGTGTTTTGAATTCAGCAAATGTCTGACTGTCGGCTCCCCTTCCAGGCTACTTTTTAAGTCACCTTATTTTCATCTGATTGATAAACTTAAGCAGTGAGAGGGACTAGGAAGGCTTAAAACTGCTACTGTTACTGGCCCCATGTTTTGTAATGTGGAATATGGTTCTGTTTCCATATCTGTCTTTGCTTGTGCTATTGAAGATAGTTGGTTGAAGACCTTCAGGAGCTTTTGAGGTGTCTTTGCTGTGTGCAGTTGTCTGGACCTCCTAATAATTCCAGGACCATGTGCGGTGAAAACCGAGATAGTCTGATTTCATCTCCTCAAGCACAGGTGCTAGTTTTTGCAAGTACTGATGCTCTAACTAACTACAAAACCTGTTGTATACTGTCAGGTGAGGTCAGCTCCCCAGTCCCTATGCCAAGCCGCAACTCAGACTAAATGCAGGAGCACTGATACCGGAGGGAAGCTGAGTTATAGACCATCTGTGCACATCGGACGTACGGGATCAGAGCCAGCTAAGCCTGAACCTGGTGTCCACATGAAGGGTGAAAGCTTTGTGATAGTTATAGGAGACTCCCTGCTACAGAGGATGAAGGCAGCAATCTGACAACCAATCTGGAAGTTATGGAGGTGCTACCCAAGCTTGTTTATTGTTTGGACCCCTTGCTGATCTTCCGTCTGGGACCAGTGATGCTGCTGGGAGTAACCTGGACTGCATTAAGGGTGGCTACAGAGCACTGGGGATGAGGGTAAAGGGCAAAGGGAGCAGGTGGTGTCTCCTCAGTCCTGTCGGTGAGAGAGGAAAAGGCCTAAGGAGAAGTGGATTTATCTAGGGTATCACGGCTTGATCGCATGGCTGGTGCCGCAGACAGGGCTTTGGCTTCTGTGACCATAGACACAGTGAGCGCTACTGAGCTGGGATGGGGTATGCTTGACAAAGCATGGCAAGGGTGTCTTTGTAAGCAGGCTTCCTAACCTAATGAGAAGGGCTTTACATGAGCTATT